GGGGGGAACTAGCATTCCTGGAAGAGATAGACGTCACCTGGCAGTAGGTCTTCAAGATCTAAAGGCATGAGTAAAAGTAAGTCGTTAGATTTCGAAAGACTGTGATAGAGCTACTAATATACATTTTTTTAAATATCCAAATTCTATCTAGCAGTCCGTTGAACTCCATTCCGGATCTTAGCATAAATATTATTATATGGTAGAGGGTCTGTCGTCAAGCGATCGTCAAGCCCGTTCTCTAGAAGAGATCGAATTACATTTTGCTTAGTTTGGCTAGAAAGACAGGCTAATCTTTGTCCTTCCTTCGTTTACCTATATTTGTAAATCGATGGACATTTTCTAAAAACAAATTGTCATTGACGAGTGAGCCAGAAGGGGCAGTTAAATAATACAACATCGATCTGGAGGTCAAAAAAAGGTGTTTTAGAAATTTATATTCATCATTTTATTATTCTTAAAAACAAAATGAAAGCCCCAATAAACTTATGTGTACATCAAATTTATTTGTAGTAGTTTTTAGAGCCAAAATACCTTTTGAAATATAGCATCATTATCGGAGTTGAATCAGCTTGCAAAATATATTTAAAAGTCGCTGCCATGGAGCTAGCCTGCGTTCAGCCGGTATAATTTCCTCAAAATATTTCGAGGAAATTAAACCGGTTGAACGCAGGCTACCATGGAGTAGGTGGGGGTGAGGAAAACGAAGGCCGAAGACCCCGGAAAACGAATGATCAATGTTGGTAAAATAATCTCTTTCCAGATTAATTCTAAAATTTAATTCATGTTTTTCATCAGTGAGGAGCTTTGCACACATCATCGCGACTTTCGAATGGCTTTCCTCTAGCTCGACCAATCACAGTGGTCAAAACGAAAACCTACCTCATCCTATCACAGTGCTGTGTAAAAAAAATTCAAAACTCGCCGCCCCAGTCTCTTGCTCGTTTCTAAACTGGCCAATGGCAGCGGAGAAAAAGACACGGGAGAAATCCCACGTGATGGGGAAACCAAACGTGATCAAAACTTTGCAATTGCATGCAATTAAGTCATTTGAACACGCTCGCTCATTCCAATCAAAGTTTCGGGAACGGCCGTCGTGTTACTATAGGGGTTATTGCAGTAGAGATGAATTCTTTTACAATGAATACGAAAGAACGTTACGCAGAGAGCTTCAAAATCTTTCGACAAAAATCAGGAGAACTTGCTCATATTGTGAACATCCTAAATGGTTGCCTTGGAGGCATTCTATTGAGGCGAAACTTCTCCCCAACGCAGGGCCGCCATCAGCTCAACGTACTGAGTGTTGGTAGTGGATCAGGAGAGGCAGATATTGAAATCTTGAAGATTTTGAACAAGAAAATGGTGCAGGAATCAGAAGGTTGTCAAGAAATAAAGATACACAACTGGGTTGTTGAGCCAAATAGGTATTTCCTTGAAATCTATGAAGCTGCCATCGAACAGCTACCACCATCGTGGCTTAAAGAAAAAGGGGAAGCAGAAGCAGAACAGCACCAGAAGAAAGAAGGAGAAGGAGAAGGATTAGGAGAAGGAGGAGACTTGGTGGAGGAAGGATCCGGAGAAGTACTTTTTAAGCTGTTGAATATCACTTTTGAGCAATTCAAGGAGACGAATGCTGACAAAAAGTTTGATATCATTCACTTCGTACATAGTTTTTACTATATTGACATGGAACAAGCTCTAGTTCATTGTATGGGGAAGATTCTTCATCGAAATGGATTCGTCATTTGTATTGTTGGAGATCAAGACAGCTTTACTGAAAAGGTCATTGATAAGGTTAAAAACGTTGGTCAAAGGGACAACGCCACCCAATGCAAGGAACAAAATGCCGAGAAAATCAAGAAGATTGCTGAGAAGCATAAGTGGAAATACGAGCATCATACATGTGCGTTCAAGTTTGATATTTCAGAAGTTTTCGACGAACAATCAAAAACTGGGAATCTTCTGCTTGACTTTTTCACTCATACTGTCGATTTTCGCTTTACCAGTAATGAAATTATTGTCCAAGAAACTTTGGACCTTATTAGAAGTTTGAGCTTCGTCGAGGATAGAAAGTATTTTGGATCCTTGATTGAACACATTTTGTTCATTTACAGCCACGATAACTAGAATTAACTCAGGAGCTTATTTAAAAAAGAATTTGTAAGGGGAAATTAAAAGACATTTAAACTAAGGGTTTAATCAATGACATTTTAGCTCTCTAATAATAATAATAATAATAATAATAATACGGTTAACAACCGCATACAAGAGCAAGTGGATTAAGACTCCTTCAAGTTGAAATTTAGCCAATAAAGCACCATTTACACCTACTTGCAAGACTTTGTCATACAATATTAGAACATTAGTAATTTAATGAGAAAGGAATACATCAAAAGACAAAAGAAAAAGTTCAGCTTCAGTGATCTTTCGTTTTCTAATATAATTCCTATCCCACTAAATCGCTAATGTTCTATTTTCGTATGACAACGTTCTTGCAAGTAGGTACATATAAGAACCAGTTCAGCCTGATAAATAATGAAAACAGGTCCTCATTTAAAAATAAAGGGAGTACTTTAAGTGATTTTCATATTTTTCTTCTCCAATATGCACCGGCAGCCCTTTCCCTCTAGTTATGACTGGTTGTAAAAAACTCATTAATAATTCATGAAGGAAACACAATAGAAATCATGACCATGAAGGAGGTTTTATATCTGATATAGATTCGCCTTCATTTGCATAAACTTTAACCTTGGATTTTCTCTATCAAACTTGGTTTATATCGTAAAGAATTCAGTACAATATGAGAACATACATAATGAGTTTTTTAAGACGTTAAATAAACTCGCAGATCGTGGTTTTTCAGGTCTAAATCCTGATAAAACCCTTCTGCTCGTTTATTCAACACTACTTAAAGAGGCAGTGTCACATTATAATACATTGCATGGAGTTTCCGATATAACTTTGCAACTATTAATGTAAACTAGCTATTTGTCTAGCTTAGCCAGTACCAAAAATCTGTCATAATCCTTAATTTGCACTAAATTGTAATCATTTCAGTTTTGTGTGGTACAAATAAAGTATATGTGTGTGTGTGTGTGTGTACGTCGTCTCAATGACTTTTCCATTTTATGACCAGTGGAGGACTTACCGAGCGACACTATTAGCAGCCGTGCAGCTTACAATCATGAGTGAATATCTAGTACATTAGTGTTATGCCTCCAAATTGAGATAGGCTGTTGAACCAGGAGATAATCCCTTACTCTTACATGAAGAATTCAACGAGTTCTTTCATTTAACCCATTTACTGCAGGTTAGGAAGGGTTGGGAGACAGGCCTACGTTTTGAAGACTTGAGAGTCTAACCATTTCCAGATCAGGTAATTACAAAGGCAGCACCTCGTATGCATGTTTCTCCTGGGGATTCGTCCACAGACAGTATCCAAGCTCTGAAAGACATAGATAACTTTATTTATCCTCGACATTTAGAAAAAGTCGAAGACTCTTTTAAAATACATTAGAGGAATAATCAATAGATTCAAGACTCTGCGGGTGTGATAGAGGGTGGACAGGGATGCCTTGAAGATAGCGTACCTGGTAGTGAATCTCCAAGATGTGAAAATAAGTTGCTAGATTTCGAAAGATTGTGATAGAGCTACTAAAGTGCAGTGAAAACCAATTTAGATATGAAATTTATAACAAAATCATCAAAAATATCCAAATTCTAACAGGCCGTCGATCCATTCCGGATCAGCATAGGCATTTATTTCTATATTAGACAAATGTCGGCAAGCGCGGTTTCATCGTGTTATTTACGTGAGTAAAACACGTTATTACTGCTGATAGAGGCTCTGACCAGTTCAGACAAAAAAGTAATTACAAAAAAAGATGTAATTACAAAAGCAGCCTCTCGTATGGATACTTCGAGATCGAATTGAAGTGTTTAGTTCGGCTAGAAAGACACGCTTATCTTTGCTCGAGACTTGTCTGAGAATTGCTTGGCTAATTATAATGTTAACCGATATTTCATTGTAAATCGATGGTCATTTTCTAAAAGAAAATTCTCATTTACTGAGCGGTGAGGTTGAAGTCATTTCGGAATAATACAAGATCGGTGTGGTCAAAACATACATGCGTTTTAGAAATTTATATTCATCATTTTATTATTATTCTTGAAAAACCAAAATGAAAGCTCGCAGAATAAACTTATGTGTACCTCATTTGTAGTAGTTTTTAGAGCCAAAATACCTTTAAAATATAGCTGCCATGGCGGATCAGGCAAGGGGTGGTGAAAACCAAGACCTGAAAAACGAAGACCACGAAAAATGAATGATCAATGTTTTTGATAAAAGAATTTGTCTGCAGATTAATTTCAAAATTCAATTCATGCTTTTCAACAGTAAGGAGCTTAGTTTGCACACATCATCGCGACTTTCGAATGGCTTTCCTCTAGCTCGACCATAATCACAGTGCTGTATATAAAAGTGTCCTGCTCAAGCGAAACCAGCCAATAAAGGAGCTTTAACCCATTGAAACATTCACACTGAAAAATAAGGATTATAAAATAAAATAGCTCTTAGTGCGATATCAAAGAGCACTATAAAAAAAAATTTGTTTATGTGACACTAGACTGATTTAAAGCCATTCCCCCCTCCCCCCAAAACATTTCTCTTTGCGATAAAAAAAACATTCAATTACACATGTTCAGTTCGTTAGAAGGTTGCCTTGTTTCAACTCGTGATTCTAAAAGGTTTTCATCGTGTTATTCACGTGAGTAAAATACGTTATGACTGCTGACAGAAAACCTGACCAGTCCAGACAAAAATGTGCTATCTGTCACTATATATCAGTTTTATTTTCGAGTAAAAAGGGATATAAAAMTGCAGAAAATAAATATTTCAAAGGTGAAATTAAATATTATATACAAATTTATTATAAACGAAACATGCTGAAAATAATCACAAATAATCGCTGTTACAGGACGATACAGAACGAGAGATAGCAACAGGTTAACGCTGTTTATTTGGGACATTTAATCGGGTTATCAGGACCATTGCATCATCGGCAGAAAAGGGGTTTCGTGAGGTACTGACACACATTCACTCTTTTTTTCTCTTTCTCTTTCTCTTTTTACTTTCCGTTTCTAAAATGTGTATGCTTTTCCTACAGGTCATTCTTTTCTTCTCACACCACCGGAATTTTTTCGTTGCAGTCATCTGACATTTGCTGATAGAAGCCCATGTCATGTTGACTAAAAATCCTTCATCACAAGAATATCCTGTTGACTTTCTGCAAACATTCTCGTATTCCATTCATCGTTTTCTTTGTTTGTATTGTTTTGGAGTTCTTAATACCATTGTTTCGTAGGTAATTATAATCCGGCAGCGTTCTGGGAAATAACGGACGAGGGGCTTCAGTATACATCCTTCTTGTACGACACAGCATGATCTTAGTATCCTGAGAAATCCTGCCACGTATTGCACGAGTGCTCTGGAGGAAGAGAACAAGCAACATTAAACCAGCTGGTAACTTGATCTGCAGTTGAATCCTTCATAATTCCATTGTTTTGTCAAGATCTGTTAAAGTGCAGTGTTTTACATGACATTTTGACATATATTCAAGCAGCTCTCACGATAGACGTTTTACATACTGCATTGTGCTCTACCATATCTTGTCTCTTGTGGTCACTCACAGACAGGCTCTCACAGGAGTTGGTACATTTATAACGGATATTTCGGTAAGTTTGATGGAGTAATAATCTCTAAAAAACTTTGATAATCTTGCTCGTTGAGCCTTTGAAAACAACTGCAGCGTCATTTTGGATGTTATTGCACAGATTACTTCACAATACATGATAAATTCCTTACCTTCCAGCTATCAAATAACGACACGAAAAACACTTTTTGGATTAAACTTCTAGTAGAAATTGTTTTGAAGAAATTAGAGAGTCTTTCTAATCGTGTTCGCACAAAAAAATCCATCGTTAGTTGATCCAACTGCAGTGGAATGCGGTCAGACCCTGGAGCGGAGTGACCACACAGTACCTAATTAGATTACATGAATTACCAGGGATTACTGAATGTATAACAATGTATGCTTGCCGTACTGAGCTGTACTTTTGCAAGGATTTCTCGTGGAAATGTTAAATAGATAATAAATAATTGGGGAATTCTCTGCGCAGATATGGCAGCTGAGAAAAAAATTGTACAAAATTAGCTTTGCTAGTAGTTTTTGTAACTTGTTGATAGACAACTGGTTTGATCAGTTACGAATTTACTTTACTTATCTGTGCTCAGTAAAAATCGTGTTTATTCCTCTTTGAATATTAGCTTCGAAGCCGGCAAGCCCCACTGGTTCTAAATATAGGTGAACAGTCATTTCCTCAACCCATTTAGCTGTCGTTGGTGGCGGGAAAAACCCCTTTCAGTGTACTCAGTTATCAAGGTGAGACGTCTAGCCGAGATCCAAACGGCAGTGATATGGCTTACAGCTTTCATGTTGAAGATGCCCAGTGTAGAAGACAAGCCATTTGACTGTCGTTGGTGGCGGGAAAACCCATTTTAGTGTTAACCGGTTATCAAGGTAAGACGTCTAGCCGAGATCCAAACGGCAGTGAAATGGCTTACAGCTAAAAGATATCCAGTACAGAAGACATGCAGAACATTTCGTTTTTTGTCATTCGATGATGGCCCTTTATTACGACCGATGAGAAAATTTGATTTCAAAATCATTTTCTCGTGACGGAAATAAACTGATTTACGGATTTAAAAGAGTAATAACATTTAATTCACCTGCAATGAGAGCAAGTCTCGACTAGTATCTATCCAAGTGCATTCCCGAGGGAATCATAAAACTATAAATGGCCAAAATGACAGTCATTCCGCTTCAGATAGCTCAGTTTCCAAACAGATTAGGAATTCGAGAAGATTTCCCGTGTTTTTTTTAAAGCTATTAATAGAAATGACCATGAATACTTTAATATCCTCTCTGAATCGTGTAGGTAATGTGATTGGATGATGCCCGCATGCTTGCTCGTTCTTTGATTGGTTAAAACAGAAACCCATGCGCATTAATATAAGATTAGATGTCTTGCGCTTTCTCCTACCCTTTGATTGGTCAAAGCGAAAGCCTGTGCTGTGATTGGCTGTTGTGAACGTTCTTGCCTTTTGATTGGTTCGCAGCAACGTAAGTCTAGCTTGTTAAAGTTCCCTTTTTCCATTTCTTTCAGTTTTTTGTTATCCAGTAAAAGACAAACCACAATGCATAGCAGCAAGAACGACACAAATCCCGTTCCCATGGAAACGATGTATAATGACGTAGAGCACGTGTTCATGGCAGGCACCTTGCTGATCATCATGGTGTTTTCATTGGTGGGGAATATTACAGTCTGCGTGACTGTTTATCGAAAGCGCCGACTGCGCACGCGTACAAATGCATTCATCATCAACCTCACATTTGCCGACCTCGGCGTGGTCACCCTGTGTATGCCATTCTCGTTGATCACGTGCTTGAGCCACAATTGGACGTTTGGTGACGGCATTTGCAAATTGAATGGGTTCGTCAACATAGTGTTTACCCAGACGTCTTTGCTGACGCTAACAGCCATCGCTATTGACAAGTATTACTCTATTGTGTGGCCGTTACGGCGTGTGATGACGAAGAGGCGAACAGTTGGTTTGATCGCCTGGACGTGGATACAGCCTGTTATCATTGCTTTAGTTCCCTTTACTGGGATAACACGCTATCAGTTTAAACTAGGTGAGTTTTATTTAAGAATATACACAGGCAATTTTTCTCTTTTTAGGATCTGTAGTAAAAAAATTGCACCTTAATTTTGGGTTTTGTTGCGTGTAAACCTTGAGATGCCCGCGCAATGTCATACCATATTTGGATGGTACTTTAATCAAGTGTTCTAAAGATCCGTCGTTTTTCATTGTAACACAGGTACGACCCAATGCGGTCTAGAGTTCCCCAGGACACTCCATCAGATCATCTACGGCGTGGGCGTGTCTGTTATTGGCTACTTTGTGCCGCTAGCAATCATGGGATACGTATATTCCAAGATTTTTCATTCCGCCAAGCAAAGCGCACGACGAATAAGCCGCGTATCTTTAACAAGCACTTCCAGCGTCAACTCCTTTGCAACGCACAGAAAAGTGGCCGTAACAGTTTTGATTCTGGTGATTTTATTTTTCGGTTGTTGGACGCCTTACTTTACCTACGTCATCATATTGATTTCTTATCCTTCACTGACGTCACACCAACACGTCATGTCGCTTGGTAAAGCAAGTTATTGGATGGCTTTCCTCTGCTCTGGTTTAAATCCTTACATCTATGGAGCTCGCAATCCTCAGTTTAGAAAAGAGTTCAAACTTCTTCTTTGCTGCCTTTGTCCTTGTTTTGCACCGCGCCTGAAGATGAGGGGTTGTAGTACCACTTCCAGTAGCAGAGGATCATGGGAAGTTAGTAACGAGTATAACCCTCTGCGTCGAGGAAACACCCCTACACCCTTCGAATCACCTGTTGCCTACCCAAAGAGAGGCTCGTCTTTTGACTTGACGGCACATCTGAGAAATATAGCGGTTCAGAATAATGATTTGGGTGATGGTTATTTTGTTGAAAGTAACCATGACGACTCTATCGATAAACCAGAAAGTGGTAGTAACCATGACAACTCGTTAGGCAAACAAACAAAACGGCGACAAAGTTCTCTCAAACTGAGATTCCAAGACAACACGAGTTTTGTCGATTTGCCAAGAAAAGAAAGTGACAGCGAACACAAAGACCAGCAGTCAAGTAACCATGGTTACGATGAACCTTGCAAAGAAGTGAACATTTTGTCATTTTGTAATGATATCACAGACGGCTCTCAAATGGTATCAAAACGAACAAATGATGTAAACAGATATAAAAGAAAGTGGATAGAGAGTACGCTGTAGGGTGGGGAAGGGGGAAACCAGAGGGGGAGATAGTGGGAAGGAGGAAAAACTAAAGATGGTAAAGTTCTCTATGAGAATCACTAGTGTAAATATATAAACGGTAAATTATTTTACGTACGTTGTAGGGTGGGGAAAGGGGAAACCAGAGGGGGAGGTAGTGGGAAGGAGGAGAAACTAAAAATATCAAAGTTCCCTATGAGAATCACTAGTGTAAATATATAAACGGTAAATTATTTTATCAAAGTTTTGTGGATGTTAGAAGTTGTTTTGCTCGCAGTTTGATAGTTGGGCGATCATCCCATGCTGAGAGTTAAATAGAACAGGAGTGATGTAGCTAATTGTAGGTGTCATCTTTTTGTTTCTTGCAGTTAGAAATATTGTCGTAGTTACAGCAAAAAAACCTCATTTGTCCATAGGTTTAAGAAATACAAAAGTAAATCTTTATCAGACCAACTGATTCTCTAATTTATTTATTCCGCCTTCCCCTCCTATTTCGAATTCTTTCTTCCTTCTTTCCTTCCTTCCTTCCTTCCTTCCTTCCTTTCTTATTAAATGGAGTAAAAACTCTTGTCATAAAGCTGTTCCCAGACAGCTTACGCTCGATTTTTTCGATCGAGATTCACTTCTCAATTAAGCTTTTAAATCTAATAAAAAATGGCCAGGAAAAAAAAAATCTTATTTGGACAAGATGGGATTCGAACCCATCAAAAGAAATTTTTAAAAATCGATTCTAATTTGCCATACCCCCGAGACATCCGCAGAGCTGAGGCGTCGTATGGACTTCGGACCTGACGGCGATTAAATCCTTCTG